GACGCAACAATATGCTACTGTCAAAAACAGGATCCATAATATATTTCAACAAGGAATGCATGGGTCTCAAAGTTTTTTGAACAACAAAAAAACTGCATGTGCTCTGGATGCAATAATCTTTCCATATGAACAACTAATGTTAAATACATAGATAAAAAAAAAACTTAAATTTAGAGGTTTTTTATAATAATAATATGTCACTTTTATACTATACTTTAAGTATACTTATGATATGCAACACAATGTTTTAATGAAACTGTTTACAGTTTATATTATACTCTTTTAGTGAGAAATTCTGAAATGTTTTATACAAGTGTATGATTATGATACACATAATTTTACAACTTGCCAACTTTTCCATCTCTAAGTGAAATTCCTTTTATCCTTTATTTATATGTTATTATTCCTGAAGTATGTGTATAGGAACAAACCAAATTTGTGTACTTTATTATTACATGGAAAATGTTATTTATATGTATAATAAAACTGATGAAGTTATAATACTTATGTTATGTTTTCTTAAAGAAGAAAAACAAATTCTGAATTGCTGACAAATACAAAATACCAGTATGAAATTCTTAAGTACATCCTTAAGTTAATAAAAAAACATTAAATTTTCTCTATTCACTGTGCTTCATTATAATAAAATTAATATAATATTGATAATTGAATGCTTCATTTCAATGGTCTTAGAAAAAGGTAAAATTGAGAGGTAAATATTATATATTGATGAACTAACTCTAAAATTTTTTACATGTAACTAAGTCAACTAAAGCTGCAGGTATTCTATAAAACATAACTTGTGATTCATCATCAATACTGTTGTAGTTAACTGCACAAAAGAAATTTACCATCTTTTTTGAGAAAAGTTTATAATCATCAATATAAACTTTGCATATGTTGACACTCTATGTCCCTCCTATATGGCATCTCATCACTTTAACTGGAAATGTGTGACATCATGTATACAAGGCTTACACATAATCAAAGTTATTTGACTTGTGTAATTGATTTTTTTTACATGAATAAAAAAATGAAAATATATACAGCACAAACATTTCTGAGATATCAACCTCTCAAAAGTTTGCATGTCAAAAACAACGTTTTTCATCAGTATGATGCAATTTCATATAATTTAAATGTGATTGTTTTCAATACAGTAATAAAGACAAATTATAATTTTTTTACAAGATAGATTGCAAATAAAGTGATAAAATAATTACATTCTTTTCCAGATGAAAATAAACAAATTACATTTGTAGTACATATATTGTTGAGACATAAATTTAACTTTACAGCCTCCAATAATCTTTATTTACCAAAAAGTTAAGAACCTGCTTTCCATACCCTCCTATCACATACTGTCTATCAATAATGTTAATGATTCTCTCTCTGACATTTGGTATTACACTGTGTATAACCAATTGAAAAAATAAAGATTTTAATTTATTGATTTACGTGTAATGCTAGCTCATTCTCATGATAGCTTTTGAATTATTCAGCACACATATTCAAAGTTTTTGTTGCTGAGTTCATCTTGGCCAGCTAAAAGAAATTATTTTTAAGCACTCACAGCTGAGTTAGAAAGCCAGTTAAATTATAATGATTATAGTTTATTGTATATTTTGTGCATGTTATTATTTTGTGTAAAGTATTAATAACAATCCTAGTACAAATTAAGGTTAACCTTGACCAACACTTCAAATCTTCAACTGCAAAAAAGTACTGTAAAATTATTGTTCAGTGGACAGGTTATTCTACTAACATCATATTACGTGACACGTTATTTTACTTCATATATTCAAGTAAGTACTAAATTTTTTGTTTTCGTCCATATTTTTATTTCCTGGTATAGTAACTAAAGTAACTAAAATTTAAAAATTAGGAAGTTATTAGGTTACATAAGAAAATATAATTTTTTATGGTGTATGCATGTGAGAAGCTCATGCATTACATAATTCAATACTGTAACTTGAGTTTTGTGTTCACCAGTTGACTTGTAGCTTGTTACCAAAGTTATAACAATTAATTTAAAACAGGTGTAAACTGTTATAAGCATGAGGCTGTTTAGAATAACTGTAACTTTCTATAACAATCTGCACTCAACCTAGAAATAATATCTAAGTCTGATATTTGCAACACATGTTCAGACGTGAATTAGAACTGACTAACCCATTAATAACTGAAGAGCATAAAGATGAGTTTAAAACTGCAAAAAATTATTTAGAAGATGCCATTGTTTAGCACCATGGATGAAATGATACAGTGGAAATCTATAAAGAAGCAATGTCTTATCATGGTCTAATTAATGCTGTACAAAATAAGTTACATCAACATAATAAACTCCTACACAAAGCTACAACAACTATATTTATCTTTCATGTTGAATTGCAAAGCACTGAGAAACACAAAAGTACTGTAAAATTATTGTTCAGTGTTATTCCACTAACATCATTTCACATGATGGGTTATTTTACTTTTATACTAAGCCTTGGGAGCTTGTGAAAAACTAAGAGTAATAATTAGTAGGATTTACATCAAGGTCATATTCAAATATGAAACTAAGTTACATAATATCTTAACTTCCAACAAATACAGCACAACAAAAACATGCCTAGAGTGTACCTTGTGAGTGTTTGCAAGGAGTATATAAAAAAAACTTAAAAGCCATTTTCTGCTAAACTAAAAGAAGATAAGTGATACATAGAACTTTACTTTTGATACCTCAGTCATACTGTCATATTTCCATAAAAATAATCACAATATAGTTTGGAATTAAAGTAAAATAAACAAATCCAATTACATAAAAAGAAGGAAACTTAAAGAGGCCATTGCCATGATATACAGTAAATGTGGTCCTTTACCATCAACCAGAACAATTGGCTAGAACATTGCTTGGCATTCTTTCATCGAAGAGAACAAACATTATTGTACTTGAAATAAAAATACCACTTTAATACCTATCAGCTGTAACATAAATAAAAAAGTTTTAATAATTTTGTTGAAATGTGAACTTCTTTTACTTTACACTAATTAAATAAAACTATTATAATACTAATATAACTATGATTTATACACACACAAATATATGTAAGTATGCATACATGTTGGGTAAGTTATATTAAAACAATTTCAAAGCCTCAGCATATTATTATAATCTATGTTGCCACATCTGGTTATGCTTAATTTGATGACCAGTGCTGCAATGTAGTTTTAACGCAAAAGGGTTCTATCATAAGGCTATCATGTACAAACATCAATCCTTCCTACTGGTTTTCCATAATCCACCTCGTGTATAAGGATGATAATTTCCTAGCACCTATTTCAAAAGTCTGATCAAACAAATCCACTGACTTAAGAGGTATGTCTTCATATCAAATTTCTGAATACATCTTTATGATCTGAGTGCATGAATATTTTTGCACTAAAAAGATTAGTTACACACCTTTCCTAAATGCAATCAGTTTTTGGTGGTATCATATTACCTTCAAAATGTACTTCTGATAGGTTTCACTCCACCAAGACTTAATATTGGCTGTGGTCATCAGCTGACTTGCTAATTTGCATATAATGTCACTGTTAATACTTATTGCTATGTGATACTTTTGAATGTAATATGGTACATCGTATTCTGAGCAACAGTTATTAGCATTGTGCATACTAAAAACTCAGTAAGGGAGCTGAAAGTTCACAAAAATAAAAGACCCATCTATTTTTTCCCTTTAGACCTGTCTTACTCATTAACTGATATGGTAGCAAGTTTATAGAATACTGCATTGTTTGGTCTAACTTCTTTTCTGTTTTAAAGTTTGAGCTAGTAATAATAAATAATTTAGACAAAATCATAACTTTTTCACAAACAAGAAATCTTCATTGAAGTCTACTTTAAAGTTTCAGTAAAAGTAAGGTGAAAGTGACTAACTTTCTTACAGCTCAACCTCTACCACAAACTTGCTAAACAAAATACCCGAGTGATCCACTTTTCTTTCAGAAATTATTTAAAAACTGAGCACAAAATGGAAATGCACACAAGTATGCCAAGTTCTACCACAACATCACTGACATCAAACTCAAAAAATGTTAGTTCAAACTTAAAACCGAAGCACCATTTCAGATATCTTAACTATGCTATTGTTCTAATTTGCTACACTAATCAAACACATAGTTTACACACATAGCTAGGGCTAGAGCTGGGCAATTAATGGTATTTGCTAATTGATTAACTGACAGCACCATTAATTGACTACATTTGATTAAATGATCAGTAAAGTATTCCTCAAATCATGGTATGTACAAATAAAACAAAAACAATTGACAGCAGGTACCGACGACCAGTTACCTTTCTTCTAGTCAGAAGTTCAACAAGAAAGAAAAAAAAGTTGGCAGTGGTTGCTGCTAATCATTTACCTTCCCTCTAGTAAGCAGCTCAAAATCAGTGACATTGACATATAGCCTTAGTAGCTCTGTCATAGCAAAGACAGAACAAGCACGTTTGGTAGTATTGAGAATTCAATGAATCACAACCCCCCCCCCCCCATTATCAAAGCTAAACAAACTTGAAGTAAAAAACAAACAAACTTATATATAGCTAAAATTGATCAAACACAGATAGCCCATTATATAGCTTTGTGTTTAAAACAAACATAACAGCAATAGTTTAATTACTTGGATTGTTAGACATAACTGAAAACAGTAATAATCAGAATGATTTTGATTAGGTGATTATTTTTGTGACAGTCAATATAATCATGATTTTGATCAATCAAACTGTTGAAATAATTGTAAACAGTAATCTTAATTAATTAATTAAATCATAATTTGATTAATTAATCTTTAATATGACATTAATTGATATAATCACTGTTGGTACTTGATTATGTCAATTAAATCATTCAGCTCTGGCTATAGCTGTAACAGAAAGTAGATTTTAATAAGTGAACTAAGGTTTGAATCTTCAAAAGTACCAACTTGTATAATTTACTGATGACATCACCATAGCTATTAGTTTTTATTTGACTGTAAACTCTTTAATTTCACAGGTAATCCAAATAAAGAAAATAAAACATTCATATATAGTTAAAAATATATTATATGGAACAGTAACAAGGTTCTTATATTTTAAATAATAAAAATACACATTTTTATGCACACGTTTGATGTTAAGTGCAATACTCATACAGCTATATCCATTGAGCTTACTTTGCAGGAGCACTCTATTATGGCCAATTGACAGGACATAAAATTATTGATTAATTAATAATAAATAAACAAAAAAACAGAACAAAGTAATACTCATTGTTTGATTAAAAAATAAATACAGGCCTAAAACTACAACAACAATTTACATGAGTGTTATTGTCAGTATTACTCCTTCTTTTTAACAACATTGTTGATTAATTGAGCATGCATCTTGGATAAATGTATCAGTCAAATGAACAAATAATAATAATTATTATTATAGATAAACAATACACTTTACTTAGAAAATAAGAACAGACCTTTCCACTCTAACAAAAAGTTAAAAAGAATTCACTGCTTAAAATAACACTTCCTTCAAGTCTTGTACACAAACATTCAGTATCATGCTTCGGTGCTTCCCATAATGGTCTGCTCCAATACATGGAAGGAGTTGCTATGTATCATATTTTGTTGGTGGTGGGGTTTTACTACAACTTTTAAGTAATGGTCATTACAAAAACCAAAATCTTGAACTTTCCCCGTGATTGACATATCATGTTTAATTACTATTCAAACACTGTCAAATGATTTCTGTTAACAAGTGGGAAAAAAAAATGACACTGCTTGAACACTGTCCAATGAAACTTTATAAGTTTAGAGCTATCTTCAACTTTCTGGCTATAAAACAAAACTTTTGAACATTGGAACATAAAATTTACTCTCACTGATTGGCTAGTTAGATATAATGGCAATGTTAATACAATTTTTAAAAAACCTTGAATAAAGTTATATGACATGATTTGCATGTACATAAAACAACATATAGTGATTCAAGAAATTACACCATAAGTAAAAAAAGTAGATAATATTTCAGTTCAATTATTGTTTTGAGAAGAAAGAAGCTCCATAATTTAAAAAACATTAAAATCTGACATTTAATATCAAAAATTTACATTTGTTAACACATCTATCCTTTCTCAATTAATTAATAACATTAATAATTAGATACAATATATATATACATTTGTAGATTTTGATACTATAAAAGTTGTAACAGATATATACATAGTCAACACAATGGGTTAAATATATATTCTAAGAATGTTTCACAGTCAAAATAACATACATTAGTTAGACCATCCAAAACTTCATTGTGTAAAACAGCAGTGTGGGTGAGTCTGAAAGTGTAAGTTTCCAGGCCTGTCTCAGTAAGCACATGGAGTAATTCTGTTTCAACTGCCACACTCTTCACATAAGCTGTATATGGGTATTGGCACACTAGCTGGGTTTTATCTGTGATGTCATAGAGGAAACCTTCTTGTGGGCCAGTGAAAAAACAGCACATACTTTTGATTTGACCACAAAAATTAGAACGCAGAGGATTATGAACAGAAGACAGAGGACGCTCTTCAGATGTCATCGCTTCAGTGAGAGGATCTATTTTGAAATTTGTTTCTTTTGCTAGAAAAACAAATCAAATACACATCAAAAATATCATAACAAGAGTACCAAATAAACAAAAGAAAAAAATGTTATAACTCATATAAATTGGGTTCTTGTTTATTACACATACCAAAAGCTTATAAAAAATATAATTACATAACAAAATAATATTAGATCATATTATTTAACAAGTAAAAAATTGAGAAATACATACACATAATACTCTATGCAAAATAAACAGAAAGTGAGCAAAAACATATGGACCTTTCTGGTGCCCCAATATTAGGAATTTCACACTAAAATTTCAGTTATAATGTAGAAATATGATAAATTAGAAAGTCATTTAATTTACAAAGTTTCAATTCTAAAAAAATGATTTATCTAGTTGTTGTTTTTTCAGTTCATGATGGTTTTAAATAAAAGATGAAATACATTTCAAAGTGAGTGAGAAATAAACATTTTTAGATAAAATTTATTTTTTTCAGTTTACACATAAACATATTACATCTAAAGCATAAAGCTACAGAAGAAATTCTATGAATCAATATTACCCAAAAGTAAATTTATGTCTACAATATTACTAATTTAAACAGATCCTATTATTAAGATAGTTAACAGAACTTTTCAGACAATCAGACAATCATTTTATAAAATCAAAAAATTAACTTTGAATACAACTCTAGAAATCAATATTTCATTAGTTGTGAGTGTATGTGTCCTGGTTCAGTAAATTTTCCATGTATTATCTGCACTACAAAGATAGTACCCATACTTACCTTTCATTATTTTAATTCCCTGGTAAACAAATGTATACATGTACAATGGTACAGTTATAGTTTAGTCTAGAGTGTAACTAGTGTTATAGTCACATCTAAAATACCCACATAAAACAATTATTTCATAAAATCAAAAAGTTATATTTGAAGGCAACTCTAGAAATCAATATTTCATTAGTTGTGTGTTCATACATATCCAGATTCAGTATATTTTATGTGTATTATCTGCCCTATAAAGATAGTACCCATTCTTCCCTTCCATTATCATAATTCCCTGGTTTGGCAATTACTTCAATCTTCACAATTGTTTATGAATATTTTCTTTTTTACTACGTTGCTGCAAAAAGTAAGAGAAGACTGAGAGGAATATAGATTGTCAACATTGTTCAAGTATTGGAAACTGTAGAAACACAGAAATAATCAGCAGTTCATCTTGGTGTGTTCAAATCCATAATTGAAAGATTGTGGACAGAATCACACTAAACAAAATTATGGAGAGAACAGGCAGAACACATAATGACACTTTGAGCACAAAATGGGCTTTAATAATCACTTCTTTATTACTCACAGACTCAGTATAAACTTAAGGAGAATTTCATTAGTGACCACACACTAAAGAACAGATTTCAAAAGTCCAGTATACAATTGATGGGATCTGCTTCACCCCACAACCGATTCTCTAAAATTTTTCAAAATGACCATAAATTAGCTATTATGTCAATGGGTACTTGAACTCTTCACAGATGATTCAAGGTTTCATTTCTCTACCAATGACTGATGGGTTTAGTTAGTGATAATAATAATGGTTTCAATGGTAATTCGGTTATGATGTAGGTATATGTTGTGCTTCATAAAGGTAGATTAACTGCATGACTTTATATTTAGGTAATACTGAACACAGATGATGCATGACTACTCACATGTACAGTTCAACCAGACTTTGAGGGAAAATTTCTGGTTTCACACTACAGGACTTGAAACACTGCAGAATTCAGCAAATTACAGATAAAATATAGAAATGTTTTTATATCTTGTAATAACTGACTGACCAACCAATGCTGACATGAAAACTAAAGTATCAGTATCAGTAGGTCTGCTGCTACTTTGTAACACATTTGTAAGATGCTTTGCTTTGTAAGATGCACCAGAGGTGTAGATAATGGATAGTATTAGAAAAAACACCAAAAAACACTATTAGAAATACATTTTCAGTGTAAGAAAATGTTAGTTTCTAACAAGATACCTTACCTCCTCTCACATAATAGCTAGAATCCAACACTGAAATGGTGAAGGGACTGATGCAAAAGTTACCAAGATAAGCACCTTAAGAAGGCACCCGAAAAGAACCCATGGGGTGTGGTACCCTAATGTATAGGGTCACATCCTGGAAGTCCACATCTCATCTGTACTTTTCACCCATTGTACAGATAGATGTTGCTAAAATGGGTGGATACATCAGGTGGTGTAAAATAACTAGGGTGTGTCTGTATTCAGTGGATCAATTCTAGTTCAAAACCAGGTGGCATCAGGTATTTACCTTCCAGTTCATGGTAGGCAGAGGGTCCCAACCATCTTCACCTCAAGACCATAAAGCAGAAAGGAAAAACATCTTCCACTCTGACAAATCAGTACACAACCAACATCAGGCCCCTTAGGAATGCGACATTTAGGTGATGGTAGAAGGCCAGCTGGAAGGGCAAACTGCATGTGATGTATTCATCCAGTCCATGGAAAGATATCATTTGGAATTTTTCTTACAGTCTGCAGTAGGAGGAGAGTACTGCCCCAATCTACCACAACAGATCACTACTGCCCTACTCTTGACTGAGTGGAATTGGTCACTCTCAGAAGGAAACCTCCATGGTTTACCATTCCAGTAGCTAGGAACTGGTAAAGTGGCAAAGACTCCCATACTCCATTGGAAGAGAGAGGGAACAATGCAGTGGGAAGTTTAGAGGAATGCAACATCGTAAGACAGAACAATGGGTGACCACGAAACCCTATTTTCAAAAGCAGGCTGTTCCTGGTTTATTCAACTAGGACCAGAGGGATAAGCAGCAATCCTGACACTACTTTACTCATGATAATCTATAAGTTGGTACAGTCTGTTGTGGGCCTTATTTAAAAAGCAAGATACTGCAAGGTAACCTCCAGCAGTCTTGTGGAACACCCCATCTCTTAAGTAAGCATTATAGCCATATGGTGTGGATTTACATTTAAGTATACTTGGACGTGCACCATTCACCACACAGCAGGATCCAGGAAAGGAGAAAGGATCACTAGCAAGGGAAGAAATAAAGAGAAAAAATTACCCTTTCATAGTTGAAATTATGTATGGAGAATGGTGACAGGTGGCAATCAATGGCCAAATGAGGAGACTACTAAATGATGCAGGTATTGGGCAGTAAATGTGAGAGGCCTGGTCCACATGCCAGACTTTACAATCTCTTCTAACAAACAATGGAAGTGGGCAGCCAGGGGAAAGTGAGATGGTGTTTCTGGTGGGAGTAAACTTGAAAAATGCAATGAGAATTCTCAGATAACAATGCATAAGCAAGATGAATAGGCTGGTAAATCCATCCAGTAATAGTATCAGGAGAAAGATCATGGATAGAGGAAGTATTCCATGGTATGAAAAGACTGAAATCCACAGAAGGAAGCAGTGCACGTAATGGACAAAGGAGATATTTGGGAAAGGAACGTAAATATAAACAAGAGATGGATGGAAGAGAAACAGGAGTGAAAGTGATGCCTCCTTCCCCCACCACTGATGCCTTGGATAAAAAAACTACTATCTAGATAAAGAAGAATATAGGTACGGTGACAGAGGATACGAGACATTAATAGCAAAGATATCTGACTTACGACAACCACTTGCAAATAGAAGTAATAAATATGTCTTGAGGAAAGGTGGTACAATGAGCATGTGACCATAGGTTCAAATAGGGTGAAGGGTAAAGGCATGAAGAATCACATTGAGATTCCAATCAGGTAGGAGAATTGGGTTGGGTAAATGAATCAGGTGAAGGGAGTGAAACAGAAGAGAAAGAACAAGAAAGGAAAAAATGCAATGGGATTAGGAGAAATGAAAGATATTAGACAAGGCCACCCTATAGCCAGCAATGGTGGAAACTGATAAACCACTGTTGAAGAGCCAAGTAAAAAAAATCAGAAAGGTGGGAAACACTAGGATGGGAAAGTGAGAAACCATGACACAAAGATCAGCTCCAGAAAATGCACCATTTTCAATGAAGGCAAAGCATGTCTGCACAACCCCAGGGTATGAGGGCATCCATGGAAGCCTAGGTTCCCAAAAGAGATAGAACCTCATGTACTGGTAGAGAAGGAAAGGACTTCATGTTGGAAACAAAGATCTTCATTGACTTCAGACAAAGAAGAGAAGGCTGGGCCCTGCCAAGATAGGTGTTGAAAAATACCCCCAAATCAATAACATGTTGCGTGTGGGTGAGATAGAACTTCTCCAGCTTGACAAGCCATCCCAAACAAGCTTCCTCCTGGATATGTTAGTGAGAGGCTTGTTGGGATGGAGCTAAAAGAAGCCAGTCATCCATATAATGATTGAACCACAAACCCTAAGTGTGAATATGATGAACAAACATACTGACCACACAGAAGAAATATGGCACCTATGCCACACCAAAAGGTAGAGTGCAGAACTGAAACACTTGACCTCTGTGAATAAAACAAGGTAGCATCTGGATGCAGGAGAGATGGAGATACGCAGGTAAGCATCCAAGACATTGACCTTGGTCATCCAAAGACCTGGAGTGAACAGCCAACGAAGGGTGATGATTCACTCCATGGTGAACTGTGGGAGGATGATGAAGCAGTTGAGGTTGGAGGAATTGATGACTGGATGCTCATCCTTGGTCTTCTTACTACAAACAACCAGGAATAAAACCCTGGAGAAGTGTGAAATACTTGTTCGATAATATCCTTATGCAAAAGATCATGAACCGCTTTTGAGAGACACTGGTGTGAAATGGGATCCTGAGGAGGAGGGAAGGAAATGGGTCATGAAAATAAGGGGGACAGAAATCGTAAGAACAGTCCTTCTGTTAGAACCTGAAGAACCAAGGGGTCTGTGGTGCCACAGGTGAACACATCTGGCAAAATGTGTTCCCACAATCCCAGAATCCACGTACCTTACAATCAACTGGTTCAACTGTGTTTCGCATGTAAATCATCATGCGACAATCCTCCACCAATAAGAGTGGAACA